AAATATAGGTCAAGCTATAAGGTCAAGGTCAAAGGGTCAAGATTCTTGATATCCAATGAAAGGTCTTGTCACAAAGATTACACATGTAAAATATGAAAGGTCTAGCCCCTACTGTTCAAAAGTTATGGTCAAGGTTAAAGTGTGTAAAAAGTAGGTCAAACTCCAAGTTCAAAGTCAAAGGGTAAAGGTTCTTGATATCCAATGAAAGGTCTTGTCACAAGGATTAAATTTGTGAAGTATGAATGCCCTAGTCCGAACCCTTAAAAAAGTACGGTCAATGTTGTATTTTCAAAGTAGGTCAAACTCCAAGGTCAAGGTCAAAGGGTCAAGGTTCTTTGTATCCAATGAAAGGTCTTTTTATCAGAATTATATATGTGAAGTATGAAAGCCCTAGTATTTATTGTTCAAAAGTTATAGCCAAGGTTATAGGTACGTAAATCTCCAAGGTCAAGGTCAAAAAGTTAATTTTTTGAAATTCAATGAAAGGTAAAAACGGATTAGTTGGGTTTTATAGAATTGATGATTTGATCACATGACTACCCTAAATATGTTTGAAAATAATACATTCTGACTTAAGGTAGTTAACATCTTATATATGAAAGCAATTTTAACTAATTTTTTCTAAAACACGCCAAAGTAAAGAATAAAATCCCTCCTGTCAAGAATCAAGTTATTTTGGAAGACAATTATAAACTATGACATGCTCATGTATTTATCCTATATCATAGCCGTAGGAAGCGGTGGGGTGGGGTGGGTAAACTAAGTGCATATATTGCGCAATGGAAACCCCAGTCGGCACCTACTTCAGGTAGGCTTCTTGTCTGGTTTAGCTTCTTCTCTGCAAACACTCACCAAATTTCAACAAAATTTGGCATAAAGCATCTATGGGTGAAGGGGAACAAAAATTTGAATTTTATGATCCCTGTCGCCCCCCCCCCCCCCCCCCCCCTGCTGGGACCTGAGGGATGGGGTCAAAACTAAAAAAACTAAAAAACTAAAAAAAAATTAATACAATCTTTAAAAATCTTCTGTACTCCTGTACATCAAGCAGTCAAACTGTTTGCATGATTGTAATGAGCATTGAGTCCTCTACCAAAATTTTGAAATTCATGGCCCTGGGATTAGGGGTTCTAGTGCTAGGGCAGGGCTAAATTGATTATATAGTGAAAGTGCATTATTTCTTTGAAAATCTTCTTCACTGCTCCTGGGTATTAAATAAACTAGGTACATAGTAATGATGAGCAAGAGTGCCTCTACCAAAATTGTGAATTTTATGGCCCCAGGGTTAGGGGTTCTGGTGTTAGGGCGTGACTCTATTTATTATATAGTGAAAATACCTTAGATTAGCAGACTTATTTTTATATTCATATGAAGCAGAATTTATGCAAAATCTTTTGCGTGAAAAGAAAAAAACACTTGCTGTGGCCTTCAACTCAACATTTAGATATATCGACGACGTATTGTCAATTAATAATGATAATTTCCATTCCTACGTCGACACGATATATCCTGGTGAGCTTGAGATAAAAGATACCACAGAGTCCGACGCTTCTGCTTCATACTTGGATATTTTACTTGAAAAAGACACAAATGGTAATCTAACAACCAAGCTATATGATAAACGTGATGACTTTAACTTTTCTATCGTCAACTTCCCTTACTTATGCAGCAATATACCTTCATCACCTGCATACGGAGTATTTATATCTCAGTTGATTCGATACGCAAGAGCATGTTCTACGTATGAACAATTTCTTGAACGAGGTAAATTATTGACAAGCAAGTTGATGAAACAAGAATATCAACAGTCTCGTTTAAAGTCATCATTTCGTAAATTCTATGGTCGATACAATGACCTTGTCAGCAAATACAATTTATCATTGAATGAAATGCTGACAGACGTTTTTCATACCAATTGTTAGTCCATTATTCATACACTGAATTGACCACGGATTTTTTCCGTTATTTCCTGATTATGACAACGAGCACACGGCGGGTGTGACCGGTCGGCAGGGGATGCTCACTCCTCCATGGCACCTGATCCCACCTCTGATGTTTCGGAGGTCCGTGTTTGCTCTGCTCTTATTTTGTATATTTGTTTAATGGACGTTGAGATTGAATACTGTTCGTTATTTCCATATCCTTCTTAAATCTTAAAAAAAATCTTCTCTGCTCCTGGGTATAAAGCAGATGAACTACCTATATAGTTACGTTGAGAAAGGGTCCTTCTTCCAGAATTGTGAATTTCAAGGAACCAGGGACAGGGGTACCAGAGACGGGGGGACTCTACCTATAGTCTAAAAATGATTTGTTTGAAATCTGCTCCTTGTTATTAATCAAATATTTTTGATAAACAAGAGTGCCTTTTCAAAAATTATTCAATGTGTGGACCTAGGGTCAGGGGTTCATGTGTGGTAGGGGTACATCTGATCATTGCTGAATATTACTGATTAGTTGAAATCCATTTTTTGTTCCCTACCCTGCCTATGGGCAAGAAACCATACTAAGTAATCGCTAAGTGTACGGTTATGATGAGAAATGGTGCCTTTTTCAAAATTGTGAGTGTCATAGCATCTAGCTTAAAACAAACCAAATTCAATCACAGCAAAGTTGTTGCATGAATCTCAGGTGACCTATAAGGCCCACGGGCCTCTTGTATTATTTAATCATGTTTAATGCTACAACCCCAATTAAGGTTTTGTTGACACTAGCAAAGGACAAAAGACATTTTACATTTTTCGTACTTTTTGTACTTATTTTTATAAAATAAATCATTCCTATATATATTTTTATGAGAAGTTTGAAACTTCATTCATAGAAAAACCAAAGCTAGTGCCCTTTTTCGCGCCATTTTTAAAAGTAGGGATCAAATAAACCTTTGAAAAATAAAACTTTGTTTTGATTTTTGCAAATTATCTATCCAGGGTAAAATCAAAGAGATTTATAATTAATCAACTATGGAAACTTTTTAAACTTATTTTGACAACAGCTAGAAAATGACCTTTTTTAAGATTAAAATGACAACTGTGGAAACTTACTGTACAAAATGTAATAAACGATTCTATGAATGCGTCTATCTTTGCTCTTATAGCCATAGAACATTTTAATAGATATTGTTTTCCTTTAATTGGGATAAAACGGTCTGTATTATTAATGTGAGGTATTGTATAGCTTTGATTTTGTTATTTAAGCTTAAAAGCTTTCAGATATTTACACTTAAAAGCATAATGCTGCTTTATATTACCCGTATACATGCGCCTAACAAGAATATTCCTACCAAAATGAATGTTCTTGCATCAAAAAATGACAAGGGGTCATTACTCTACGGGGTCATTTTTTCTATAATGCACACGAAGGAAAAACGACACCAAGGCCTTCATTTCTACAGAAAAGCGTGTCATTTCTTCTACGTAGAATATTGACCAGGGGGTGAAATTTCTAGGTAGAAAAAAGAACTCCAGTCAATATTCTACGGAGGTCACTTTTCGTCGTTACACCGGCTCTAACTCAGCCAGGGATAAATGACCATCAAGGTCAAGGTCTCTCAGGGTCCAAAGTTTGTCCGTTTACTCCCAGATGGTCAGCTGACCTCCATTGGGATTCCCCCCGTGAGGGCTATTGTACAGTAGGATACATATAATTTTTAGATTTCGTTTTCAATACAGTGCGTACCAAATAACTTCCGAGAAGCAAATTGCCAAAAGAATTAACCCTTTTATACTAAAATCTGAATATTTAGATTACGACAATATATTAGTACAATTACTTATCTTCAACAAGTTCAATCCACGTCTGTGGAAATACATGTACTATGTAAGACACCATGTTGAGCAATAAATCTAATTATAAGATATGTAATATGCGCGTTTCTATTTTGAAATTAGATTGATCAATTATATAAGAACAGTTTATCTTAAATTAAAATCATTTTTAAAAGATATCGTTTGATTTTGATCCAAAAGACATATGCCTTATAGGGGGATCTTTTTAGAGAATGTGCTTATTATTGCCCATATGGGATTTTATTTGCATTTCAATTGAGCTTATAGACTTTGGAGGAGAAAAGGGGTAATGTTCTCGTTTCAAATAGCGTAAAACATTTTTGAGATGCCATTAACAATGATTGATTGAGTGTATGTTGTTTTACGTCACATTCTAGAATATTTTACTCATATAGAAACTCCATACTGGTGAAGAGCTTCAAATTTTGACTTTTACTCGGCACATAGGGCAGTGACACAGGGCCTCGGTTTTTAAGATCTCGTCCGAAGGACCCACAACCTTCAAATCAAAGTATCGAGCGCATTATGACGGAACAGTTGTTACCTACTTTTTATCTACTTAATAAGTTCAGTTTAAATTCAGCTTGTCCCATACATTTAACATAAGGAATTTTAATATATCTTTTGAGTCGAATTACTTGCTTGGTCAATTTAAAAAGGAGTAACCGTGATCTTTCACTTGGACACCTATGGCGAAAAAACTATTTTCTTCAAAATATTAAAATTTCGATTAAAGATGTCTGAATGAACATTTTTGGATTAGGTAATCCTATAATTTTATAAAAATAATTAGTATGATTTGACAGCGGAACTGAGACCAAAACCCTTTAAAAACAGATCAGATTTTTGTTCTCGTACTAACCCTAGCTCTATCTTAAAGGAATTATTCATATTTTGCTTCGTAAAAAATCCACACTTCCGTAAATTGACATGACTCTGAAAGAAAATGGAGCACGAAGCACAAAGGAAACGAAGCCAGATTCTGAGTCTTCAATCCATCCGACCGCAAATTCATAATCATGGCCTACAACAAGATCTCAAAACATGACGTCACAGCTTAGGACATTGAGTAAAAAAAATTGAAACAATACGAAATTCAATGAAAATCTATTTATTTCCGTCAAGCTCAAGAAAACATAGGCTGTTCAATATTTTCAATTAAAATTCATTCACTTTCTAAGTATTGTTTCTATTCTAGAAGGAGAAGAGATAGAAAAAATCAAATCAGACATAATTATGCACTTTATATAGAAGAATCAGGTTTCAGTGAGTGGTTGTTTGCATATGAAAGTCTTATTTGAGTTTTTGATTCACCTCATGATCTTTAATTTGTAATAATTATTTTTTGCCAATTCTGTTGATTTATGACAAGAAGTGTTTGATCGGTCGACAGGAGATGCTTAAACCTCAATGGTACCTGGTCCCACATCTACTGATGTTTCCAGAGGTCAGTTACTAATCTACTGATATTTTTAAACGTCTGTGTTTCTACTGCTCCCGATTTGTCTTGAGCTTAAATACTGTTTAGTTAAAAGGACACAATGAGTCAAAATCAGGTCTTTCTTTTAAGATATCTGTAGCATACAGAGAAAGACTTATGAAAATTATGAGTATATAGCTAAGATATGACAATTAAACTGCAAGAAAAAACTGCACGATATAAGTGCCGGAAAAACAAAGGTTGTATCTACCGTTTCGCTGTTTATGTGTTTGTCAAGGTCACGCTCAAACTTTTAAACAACATTCAGCTGGAACATGCAAAAGTGATAAATATGTTCTAACAACGTTTTAAAAAGATTGCCTCTAAATTTTTGGTCTACTTACATTCATTCCTGGGTACATGAGACCATGGTAACTATGGAAATTTATTCAACTTTTCTGCGCACGCGTACATTGGGGTGGAAGAAGTATTGAGCAATATTTTCGGTCTGGGGCATACTAAAAGTATTTTTACTTTTATTTTTCTCTCTAAAAATAGAATTTTTAGGTTATGAAACCTATAATTTTCTGAAACCTAATACTTTTAGGAATTAAACAAAATTAACAAGGGTCATGCAAAAATTCTACATTTTTAATTTTCCCCTTTGTGCGTCACAGTGTCGCTTTAAGTAAATCTTGCTCAAGCGTGTCACAATTTCAAGTAAACATTTATCATTTTCATTGCACATTGGAATCTGTAAAACGATTGGAGGGGATAAAACACATAATAAATACTTGTATAGAAATAATTCGATGTAAAGCTTTCTATAAGCGCCAGGTAAACGAGGAAATCCCATAACCAGAGAGTGATGTTGTAACAGATGAGAATAGCAAGGTACATTTTTAAACTAGTCAGGCGTTTTGAATTCCGTCTCGGAAAATTAACCGCTTTCAGGAAGAACATTAATATTGTTTGGTAAAAGATGTGGAAAATATTAAGTATGCAAAGAAATGAGGATAAAAAACTCTGCTCTTCTGGAATGAAAACAATAACAACTGATGTTGCAGTGATACCAAAGCAGCTTGCAAGCAAAGACACATCGCTGAAACTAGGGTGATAGTTAGTAGTCTTGATAACAGCTTCCTTTTGCAATGTATAGAAAATTTTTAGAACTAGCAGAAATGACACCATTTTTGTTACCATATGACAATAATCCCAAATAGGTAATCTGCTTTCGAATGTATAGCCATACATAAAAAATACACCATCAAAAATGTAAAATGGGCTACATAGAAAAAAAGCTGCAAGTGATAAGGACAGTTTCTGTAGCCTTGTAAGTGAAATATTTTCTTCTACTTTAAGTTCCTTGTACCGATTAAAATCTGATGAATAAGACACAGAGAAAGTTTCCGTTTCATTTGTTATCGGTGTACTTATAAGCAGTACCGTAGCAAGGACACTGAATTCCATAACAAAAGGTAGTCTGAAGATATCTGTGTATCGAATCAATGTTTCTAAATTATTTTCTTTAACATAGGTACAGTTATGCACTTCTTCTATATAGGTTGAATTATCTAAACTTGTTTTTTCTGTAACACAATATACAAGCCCTGTAAGCCAGACAGTCAAATTTGTAACGACCATCGAGGTTATGACAACTCTTATTTTTTTACTGTTTATAAATGAATGCTTATGAAAGTACAAAATAATGACCGATTGCAGAATTGTAAATACGACTGAAACAAATTTCCCGATGTCTCTTACTATTTGGTATTCATCATTCTTCGCACATCTCCAATTAATCTCCCTATGAATAAATCCAAAGAAACATTTAAAAACTCCAAGAATCCATAGAACTCCGATCTTTGTTTTCGTCACCCCAGACAAGGGGATGTCGTGTGTTATCCATTCTTCTCTTCTGCAGAATATAGACAATGCTGTATAGAGGATAATCACAATTCCAACGACCTTGGTTGATGTGCTTATCACAGCGTCTTCCCGTGATAAAATAGGAGGGAAGAAAACTCCCATCAAAGTTGAGGCAAGTAAGAAGGGGATTGCATTGCCTGTCTTGCGTTGTGATCTCTTGGGTAACATTTTTATTAGTGCACAGCTAGCATGAAAAATTCATCATATATCAATTGAAATATATTAAACGAACATTTCCTTAAGCGGTTGATATCGTATCATAATTTTAATCTGAACATGCTGAAAGCGGTACTATTTGTCATGCGGCCATACCAAATCAAAAAACTTTTTTGGGGGATGTAAAATTGGATTGGTTGGGTTTAATAGAATTGATGATTTGATCACATGATTACCCTTTATTTGTTTGAAAATAGGAGTATTTTAACCTATCTTTGGACTTTCAGTAGGGCGTGACTTTCTCGGCGCTACGTAATGGCGAATACTAGTAGATTCTCATTGGTTACGAAATTAATAACATAGGAACTTAAAATTGTTGTTGATAACGATCAGACGACTTATGCCCCACCTCTGTGCTGTGAGAGAACTTTTAATTGGCGATTTACTACACCAGTTGACATTCGGCCGCATTTCTATCATATGTATATTTCAACAGTGAAGGGAAGCTGTGTAAATTTCAGAAGCTAATTAGGTAACGTCGAGAATGCCACGCCTTACTGAAAGTCCAAACTAAGCGTGTAATTCTTCTAATACATTCTGACTTAAGGTTGTTAACATACCAGAGTAAAGAATAAAATCCCTCCTGTCAAGAATCAACGTCCTAATTTTGGAAGAGAAATGGAAACTATGACATGCTCATGCATTTACCCTCTATCATGGCCGTAGGGGGGGGGGGGTAAACAAAGTACATGTTTTGCACATTGGAAACCCCAGTCGGCACCTGCTTAAGGTAGGTTGTCTGGTTTCTGACTTGCTGAAATATTCAAAGTATATTTGCTTATATATCTAATATATCTTATATATTTAGGTGTAAGAGATACGAGGGTTTTCCCAAAAAGTCGTAGACAGGGGACATAGTTTATTTTCTCTTTGTTAAATCAAATTCCTTTTTTGTCATAGCAAAGAGTAACATTTTATGATCATTTATTTCAATTTTCATGACGATATCACATTTAATAAGAAAACTATGATAAAATAAAGAAACAATGTAAGTGTACATCGGCGCACGAAAGCAACTCTCATAACGTCATACTCCCTTTTTCTGCTTCACATCAGGCTTTTAACATCTAAATGAATATTTTTTATACACTTGATAAACCACTCTTGACTAAGGGAATACTTAAAATTCATTACTGTCCGTTTTCTTGAGCAAATTTAAATTTTAGTCAAAATTAAATTAGTTGAAGGATCACCATACATTTTAGGCAGCAGAGAATACACCTTGTTTGACGACGTCCATGGCCCAGAACGTTCCCCAATGTCTGCGTTAAACAATTAGTACTCTACTTTACATGCAATAACTATTTTTTCGATATAGAGGAAAAACTATCTTTGAATCTCATACTTATTCTATTAAAAAACAACTTTTAAATTAAAATATAGTGTGTAATGTCCTTTCTGTATCTTTTCCCCCGTCTCTGATGAATATAAAATATACCAAACACAATTTATTACATTTCCGTGCGCCGGGTACGCGTTCGACGACGTCATTTTCATCACTCTCAATTCGAACAAAACTTTGAAAATCATGCCACCAGTCGTCTATTTCTAATGCCATTTATACGAAACTTTGAAATATTATTTAGATTTTTATTCTGGTTTCAGTTATTTAAATTTTATTTTGATCTTTTACATGGTACCATAGAAATAAAAACAAATGTACAACTTTTATGCGTAAATTATTCCGAATTTTTGTCTTGCGCTGACAGACCATATCGGCCTTCATATAAATCGTCCCAATATAATAAATATGAAAGATATATATTTAAGAATTCACAAATTTAAAGAACATTCAATGTGTTATGTCTATGCAAAATTTGGTTAGTATTGGTTGCGTGTTTAAAAAGTTATTAACATTGTCTACGACTTTTGGGGACAACCCTCGTATTTCATATTATATTTTAGGTGTAAGACCAATTTTTTCTTTCCTCATCCCAATTGTACAACTTTAAATAGAAATCGTTCACGAGTCGCGTTTGAAAACTAGCATATACTATATTTTTGGTTGAATGGTGGCGTATGAAAATTTCTTTTCAGCCTCTCAATATTATTAGAGAACAATGAATTTAGTTATAAGTTTTACACATTCAAAGACTTGAAGAACTTTTCAAATATCAGTATGATAAATGTAAATAATATAAAATTCTTTAATATATCAAATAAATATGATTTTTTTAGGCAAACTAGAACTTTTTAAGCTTTTATAAGCTTCCAATCTAAGTACAAATTTCTCTCTTATACATATACTTTTATGTACTAACTAAACATTGATTCTATGGCACAATCATTTTAAAAAGTAGGAAAAACTTTCAGTATATATAGATTCATGTTACTTTACACCTTGAATAAAAAAACGTCATTCAACAACTAGTTCTAGCTTTTAAAAGATAGAACACGTTTTCACCGGTATTAGTTTTGTGCATCAAGACTCCAAAAATAATTTGATATTGCAACAATCCAAATATCGTTTGATAGAGGCCTGTAGCAACAGATTTTAATGTGGGGGAGAGGGTGTCCGACAATAAAAAAAATCTGCGTACTACATAGCTGTGCAACTCGTTAACCATCAGATCTTTTTTTCCCATGACAGATAATTCTAGAACAGGTGTCAAGTCCCAGCCATTATGCGTTACATGTATCAAAATAGCCCGATTTTTAAAATGACAAAAATAAAGGCTAATCGGAGATAAAATTTAACAATTTTGCTTTGAGACTACAATCAGTCATAAGTAGGCATATCATTGTAGAAAATATTAACAAACCTACATGAAAATTCACTACACCTAGAAAATGTCTTCAACTGAATTTCGGTTAGAAACACATGGGTATGCTCCACGTATTGCCCAGATAGCAGGATGTTATTGGACCTTTGTTGGGCCAACAACGCTCCTTATGTTGGGCCACTGTTTGAATTCAACATTGGGCCATCGGTAATTTGCTCATTGGCCCTTAATCAAACCAACTTGTTGGCTTATTGTTGGGCCAATGTAACAGTTAAAATTGGGCCACTGTTGGGCCATTGTATTATTTCAGTATTGGGCAAACGTCATTTTTGAACAATTGGGCCATTGTAAGCAACTAATGTTGGGCCAACGGTATTTTGCTCATCGGCCCTTAATCAAACCAACTTATTGGCTTATTGTTGGGCCAATGTAACAGTTAATATTGGGCCACTGTTGGGCCAATGTATTTTTTCAATGTTGGGCAAACGTCATTTTTGTACAGTTGGGCCATTGTAAGCAATTAATGTTGGGCCATCGGTATTTTGCTCATCGGCCCTTAATCAAACCAACTTGTTGGACCAACGAACGGATATCATTGAGCCATTGTTGGGCCACTTATTCTTTCAATATCAGGAAAACATCATTTTTGGGCCAACGTTGGTTTGTATCTTATTGGCTCTCCATCATGACAACTCATTTGCTCTTCACTGGTTGGCCATTTGTCCTCAAAATTGACAAACAAATATATACAATAAGGTTATACTAGTTTTGTAGTACAGTTAAATGGTAAAAGCCTTTAATACTATCTGTATATGCTATATATGCTAGATTAATAGTTTAATACATATTCTCAATATTCTCATAGAATTGCCATCAACAAGTATTGCATTGTAAGTAGCTCTACATTAATTAAAAAACTGAGAAAAAAGAAATCAGAATATAAAATTCAGTTATAACATACTATAATTTTATTGCTCAGTGCATGAAGAAAACATTAATAAAGAATTAAAAGTGGATGCTCACTTCAAGCTATACATGTAGGGTTACATGACTGTATACTCCCTCTCTGATGTAAATTATGCACAAGTTCAGTAAATTACAGGTATCAATAAGCACGTCTAACAAATAAACAAAGCCCTCCTAGCTGTTCTTAAAATAATATTAGAATGAATCTCGTCATTTTGTTTACTTACAGAAAAAAATTTTCTGGCATCTGCATTGAGTTTATAACCGACAAACAGACACAAAAAAAGTAGAACTACAGGAATGTCATACTATATCACAGAAAAAAGTTAGGCACTGCCACTTTCCATCTGATCCCTCTCCTAAGTCTCCATTTCCTCTTCCCGAGTCTCCTCCTCCCCTTTCTTTTCTTCTCTGTCCGTTTCTTCCTCCCTCATCCCTGTCCTTGGCATACCTTAGCCATTCTTTGATTGTGTTCTCCATGTCTTTTTAGAATCTCCAGTAGCACTAAAATTGTAATATTAGGTACTTAATATATTTGTTACTTTTCTCAGTAAAGAGTAAACATACGATTAAATTTACAAGTATATCACTATATGTTTAAGCTGTCAATTAAGGAATAACCGTCTTTTTTGTTTCATGGTGTGATTAAGTGATTAGCTTGCGTGATGAAGGCATTTATGCATAATATTTATACGCTTGATATCATCATCAAAACAATTTTGATTCAATGTTGCCCCATATAAAATACATGTATTGAAAATTTGTCGTTACACTGAACAAATTTTAAATGAAAGAACCCAATTAATTTTTAGTACTGAATAAATTTTGTTTTAACTTCAGCAAATTCAACATTTTCAAAATGTTTGATCATGTTCTCGACGTTAAGTGTATATAAGTAAATTAAGTGGTAGACTTCGGAAATGTATTCTACTAGACACAAATTTCAATTTAAATAACGAGCAAATTATTAATTGTTTTAACTGTATCAAAACACATTTTTATACTTTCATTTATTTTTCTTGTATATAAACAAAAAATTTAATCACTGATTATTTATTTTGTTTCGATAAATTATGAGAATTTTAAATTTTTTTTTAGCTAGCTTGATTTTTCAAGTAGGATTGGTTGTAGATTTATTTCTGATTGTAGAGACGATCAGATTTGTTAATATACAGATTTGTAACAATCAAATGTTTATACACATTGGCCCAATGTTGGTCCAATATATCGGACCAACATATGACCAAGGAGCAAAATGACACTGGGCCAACGGCATTTGCCAACATCGGCCCAATGTTCTTGTTGACGTTTCGCCAACAATGTCGCATTTATTGGGCCAATGTTGGCGCGACGTTGGGCCAATATCTGTAGAAATAACACTCTACATTGGGCCAACGTTGGCCCAACATATCGGGCCAACATTGGGTCGATGA